AAAAATATGCCTCTGTTGTTTACAAGTAATTGTATGACTATCCTTAACGACTTAGAAAAGTTAATGAGAGGTTTTAGTAATTTTACTCAAAACGAAATGGAAATATGTTTTGGAGTTATTAAACAATATGAAAATGAAAATAAGAAAGATTTGTTTATCAAAACTCGTATATTATTTATTCTTTTACGAGAAATACGTGAGATAAAAACAAGATATCCTCAAGTTTTTTCTTATTTCTTAGAGCAAAATATTTTTGAAACTTAGCAAGAAGATCTATCTACTTATCTATATGAATTATCAGATGAAATTGAAAAGCTAATTAGTACACAACAGAGAGGAACTTTGTATACAAAACTATTAATTATAAAAGTGTTAAGAAAATTTGATAGTTTCTTAGATGGTAACAAATACGACAATATTATATAAGCAATATCAAAATAAAGTTTTTTCACAAGCAAAAGAAACCCATGAAGAAGTGGTGCTCGCTATGAAAAACTTTAATTATGGAGAAGTCATTGTTGAAATGCAGGCAATACAATCATCAGATATAGTAGGAGAAGTTCTTTTTCAACAAGCTAAACGAGCACTTAATTTAATATTAAATGATTTAATGGAAGCGACTAGACATAAAGCAATTACCATTGGAAATGATATACCACGAGAAAAGAAATAAAAACTATAGGAGACAATCTAAAATACATGCAAAAAGCAAAACAAACTATATCAGCATATCTTAATGCATCGAATGAAATTGATGATTGTGTAGCAGAAGTTAAAAAATCGACTGGACATCAAGTAGAAATGCTTATTAGATAAAATAAAAGCTCTCATTAATATTTATAATTTCTTAAAAGCAGATACAAAAATAAATTCAATACTTGTAATGAAACCTATCTTAGAAAAATACTGTACAAGTAATATTTTTGACTAGATCGAAGAAATAGAAAAAAATTCAAAATAATATTATATTGAATGTAATTGATAATTATTCAAAAATGAGTATTAATGATTATATGTTGAATCCACCAAAAAATATTATTGAAAAATTTCAAGAAGTAACCATTATAAATCCGACATATAATGAAGCTTTAACTACTGTAAAAAAAATGTCGATTAGGTCTAAATTTGAAGAAGAATTTGAAAGAAGTAAGTCAAAAATACATCCAAATCCAGAAAGTATACATATAAAAAGAATTGAAGGTGCACTTAATTATTTACAAGAAAAAAAATGAAAAATACTCTTGAATTAGAATTAGAACATCTTAAAAAGGATATTAAGAAATTTATTCAAGATACTGATAGAAAATTAGATAATGTATTCAATAGTGAAAATCCCAAAAAATATCAAAAATTTTTTTCAAGAGTATAAAAATTCTGAAGGTATACAATTTTATTTTAACAAAGACCGAGAACTTGCTTTAAAACAGATATAAGTTATTGCTCTCAAAATAAATGAAAATTTTGATCAATAAAATATAAGAGAAGCGTTACCAGACGTCAAAAAATTGAATGATTATAAAATTGAATTAGATAATATGATTAATGATATTAGACAACCATTTTTAGAAATACAATCTCGAATAAAAAATGTATTTCATGAAGCATATATTTCTTTTCAAAATCAATTTTTAAGTGCTAATATGTCAATAATTACAAATGAAATAACTGAGTCAGTTCATAAAATTTGATATCATTTAGACAAGGAATGAAAATAACATATTGTAAAATTGATGAGAAAATCCAAATCTGAGAAGAATTTGCTGAAAATAGTTTAAACGTTCAAGATATTACTACAAATTTAATATGCATGAAAAGTGTTACAGATAATATTCCATTTTTTAAAATCAACATAAATGAAAGAATAGATGAAGTATTAAAATATCATAAAAATACTAAAAGAGATACCATGACTTTTGTAAAATTAGCTACAATTTTAAATCAAAATATAAATGGTGTAGGTCAAAGTATTTATTGCTGAACATAAATCATTTCAAGGTTTTTTATTGTCTATATTCAATGAAAAAACTCAAAAACATAGGATTGATTATGTACTACAGAATTTAAAGGGTGATTCTATCGACAAGAATTAATCAAAAAAAAGGATACGATGAATTTCATACTATCTATTAGGATTTAATCAAACAGAATCTTAGACCCAATACTAATGTTACTAAGTTAATACTTGATATTAAATCAATTGCTGGAAATATGATACAAACGCCAAAGTATATTGAATGGAATGCAGAGATAAGACATAGAGTTCTAAAACTATTGGCACATATTTTTGCTTTATGGACGCTTAAAAATGCAGATCATTATTTTGATGGCATTACTTGAGATTGGTGATAGAAAAGAAGAATTCAACAAAAATTTAGTACAAATAGGAACAAGTGAAGAAAAGTCTTTGACATTAAGAATTACAGCTTCTATACTTACATTACTTGGATTTGATGTATATTGTGCATGTTATAGTGAATATTTAAGTCAGAGAGATTATTCAGCGTCTTTATCATTGTTCGATTTATTAGGGTTATTAAACTATATTCATTATAATAGCTTTAATAAACTATGTATGTGAAAAAATAATTAATGAAAATGATAATATTTGTCAAACAGTAGAACAATTAATTTCGAAAAATTTAAATAATTTTATAGAAAATAATTAACAAATAAAGCGTGCTAAGATATTATTAATTGATGAAGTTGATGTTTTCTTTAGTCGAGATTTTTATGGTAATGTCTATACATCATCAGCTAGCTTGCGAGATCCTACAATTACATTATTAGTTAATTTCATGTGGAAAGCAAGAAAATCAAAGTTAAATCTTAATAAAGTAAAAGTTACAAATGATGTAAATAATTTTGATTCCCCGAGATATGAAGTTAATCATAATAAAATTGGATATATATGGAACAGGATAGTATTATCTACAATGTTATCTATGATTATAAAACTTTATTTGCATATTGTTATGAATATGAAAAAAAGGTAATATAAGTAAACAAAGTCTAGAAGAAAATATAGGTATACAAATCAAATGTAGTAGTTTTTCATACGCTGAAATATCACTTTAATTTAAATATATTATGAATGCTACAGGAACATTAGAAATTCTAAGTGAATCTGAAAAGCAAGTCATATGAAATGTATATAAATTCATGAAAAATACATATACTCCATCTGTATTTGGCAAAAACAATCTTAAATTTATAGAAAAAGATGATATTATCATTGAGAAATTAGTTATTTTTTAAACAAAACAAAAATTAATAGAATCTTATAATTCAAAAGTCTTAGAATTCATAAAAGATTCAGTTACCTATATAACAGAAGAAGGCATGGTTCATACAGCATGATATTGCTTGATCGTGTCCTAGAAACATTTCATATAATGAATGAAGATATTGAGAATTTTAAAAAAGGTAAACATGTTTTGATCCGTAATGATGGTGTTATTGATACGACAAAAAAGTTTTTGATACAATATATTCTCTTTTGCACGAAAAACGTACCGAGTTTTATAAAACACAACATGAAAATACTAACGTTGTAAGATAGTTTTTAGTTGAAGAAAATAAAGGAATTGAAGGTAATTGGTGTTCACGTACTGTTTATTTAATGGATGCAACAAGTTTAATGACTAATTTATTGCATAAGTGTAAAAATACAGTGAATATTATGTTTGAGTGTGCTTTTAAAGTTTCGAAAGATAATAATATTAATACAGATTCATTTCAAATCCAATTTGTTGAATATCAAAGTTCTCCGTGGGAAACAAAACCAGATAATTTACGAGCTTTTATGAATACTATTGAAGTCGAAAGAGGTTGGAATAATTGAGCTATTGAAGTTGGTTTATGACATGCGAATAAACAAAACGAACGAGAAACTATCACACAAATTATTTTAATAGGTGATGCACCACCAAATATGAAAAATGAAATAGATGTGAAGAGACAACGATTAGGAGAAAAATACGAAATTTGCACTACCAACTTATTATGAAGATGAATTAGCAAAACCAATATCGCAAAAAATTCCAGTAAATGCATTTTATGTTGAAAAACGAGCAAAAGAAACTTTTGAAGATACTATCTAAATACTAGAGCGATTTTTTCTATGTTATCAGATGAACCAGTTTATTCAGTAAATTTTATTGTGTGTTCATATTTCTAATACCCAATAACTACCTTGATTATTGTATATTGTTGTATTTTAAATGATTTCCATGATTTTTATTTGTATTGTTTTTCTTTATTTAATCTTTCTATATTATTTATGTTTTTGATTATGTGATAGTCGAATAAAAGACATAAATTTTTATTTTTATTATTGTCAATAATTGTTTTCTAATATTTATTTTCTTTTCATATTTTTCTATTCAAAATATAATCCTGAATAAATAACATCAAAGCAAAAAAAAGATTAAAAAGCTTTGAACTGTAATTCTATGATCAATACAAATATTTATATGGACTATTGTCAAATACACTCTTTTATGATAATATGAAACAGAATAATATAAATCTGAATACTTTCATCTCAATCACCATGTTATTGATAATCATTAATAATTTCGCTTTAGATTTGAAATGATAATTGACAATGTCAGAGTGTGCTAGTGGGATGAAGGTGAAGGTGAGAAGAAGATTCTAAGTGTATTCTCAAGAGCAGTAATGTTACTAAAAAAAATCAGAAGAATTTACTCGTAATTTTTTAAATACTATTCTTTTCTTTGTCTCAATCACTATTTTCCTCTAATAATGGGTGCGTCAGAAATAATGGCCCGGCTTTGCATTTCAATTTTCATTTACTTAATATTTTGTATTAATAAAATAACGTATACCAGGAGACGCATAGGACCCCTTTTTTTTTATAGCTGCCCTTTTTGCTTTCAAAATAGTCAAAATTTTGAATCAATTGTTCTGTGTGAATTGTAGGACTTTTCATGCTGCGTCTCCTGATATATTTTGTTTTATAAATATAATATATTAAGTAAATGAAAATTGAAATTTAAAGCGCAGCCGTTATTAGCATATCAATATAATTAAGGTTTATTTCACCTTTACATGTCAATATTGGAGCTTCTATTTAAGAAACAGCTTGTGTTCTTTTATTAGAAAATTTTCGGTGATCAATTTTGATAAATCCATACTAACTGTACATATAAAGTGTCTTAAAAAGATCCATGTAATTATTTGATCTTTCTCTATTTTATGCAACGAAAATATACTAAAACAAAAAAAAAGAAATTTTATTAAAAGTATACAATAAGAATCAAAACTATGACGTAAATAAACATACTATATAATAATGGTATTAAATGTTTTAGTTCTCGGTAGATAACTAATATAAGAATTATGGTAATTTAAATTTTCTTAAGAACATCAGCCAAAGTAACAGTGCCTTTAATTCGAATAACTTTCTCATCGGTTGTCCAACGAATAGTATTATCATCGAATCCCTTTACCATTTCAATCCAATTATCTCCAGTCGTCTTTGGCCATCCAAATTTATCAAAAAGTCCTCTCATCATCTCTTCTGTCATTGCAACAGCTGAAATAGGTTTTCCTAAAATTTCACTGGTTACCTTGGCAACATCATTTGGACTCTATGATTCAGGTCCTTCTAATTCAATAATAACCAATTTATCGATTTTATCATCTGATTTGGTCATATATTCAGCAACGACACGACCAATATCATTTGTTGCAATATGTGGAATTTTTCGATCCAATTTTTGTAACATTGAACCAATCACAGGTGAATGTCCTGATTTTACAGCAGAAATAGCACTTAACCAATTTTCAGTAAACCATGCACATCGAACCATTACTACTTGTGAAGCACTTTCCTTTAATTTTTCTTCTAATATATGAGTTGTAAGAATACATCCCGTTTTTGAACTTCTTTCGGCACCAACTGAACTCAAAACAACAACACGTTTCACATTAGATGCTTTGATAGCCGAAGCTAGAGCATGACCGACGGTAGTTGCCACAATTTGCATATCCGGTTTATCATAAGCAGGAGGATTCATAGCAAAAACAGCTTTTGCTCCTTGAAATGCCTTAGTTAATGCTTCAGTATCAGTTAAATCAGCAATAGTTACTTCAACATTACGTGATCGAAAAGATTCTGCTTTATTTTCAGAGCGAATAACAACACGAACAGGAACTGATTGTGAAATAAGATAATCAACAACAGCAGAACCCACTTGGCCTGTTGCACCAGTTACCACATAAGACATATCGATTGTATTTTAAATCTTCACTTTTCGTATAGCGTCACGTATTCTTTTGCACGTAACCTATTCTTGTGGGGTTTTGTGTTTATCACGTAACCAAAGCATTTTTTTTCTTTCTTGTATTGACATTGTAATCAATCATTTATTCTACATATCTCTCTCATGTCGTCTTTTTTTTTCTAAAAAACCGGCAGTTCGACCAGTTTATGCCTTTTTTATCGATTTTTAAGCATTTATAAATTAAATTAAAATTTTTAGTCTTAAAGAGATGGATTCTAACTCAGAAAAGTCAATTTTAACATGCAACAATATATTATGCCAGATGGCGTCCATAGGCGGTGAAACGTTCCTAATTTTGGGAAGGCTCAAAGTATTTTAACATAACGATAGAAAGATGGTAGTAAGAGGTAGCACACTTCAAATATTGTCGTCACAACTTTCATCAAAATGATTTTCTGCACCATTCATTTGCATGCTCGTACACTGAGAAAAAAAATGATACCATACCGAACCGTATGAAGCTTTCATTTTTCCTTTTTTCTGCTAAGATTCAAAAACTTTGTCATGTTTTATTACAGTAGTGTAGAACTCGTTAAGTCGTAACGACTTTTCAACTTTTCAACTATTCGGGTGTGAGTGTGGGGTGGGTGTGGGAAGTAGGTGTGGGTGTCCTTTTCATCAACACGCACACCCACACCCACCCCACACCCACCCATATTTCTCCAACAGTGCCTATAGTTATTTTAATCGTATCCATCTAATAATTAGAAAAATTATTTCTCTTCAATGAACTGACCAAATTCGTCGAACGTATATAGATTCATGACGATTCGATCTTTTACGAATACAAATCTATCCTGCAAAATATTTTTCTCCAGCTTTTGTAGCAATGCTTCTTACTTATACAATATTTGCATAAACTCGAAATCAGAACTTCTAGTTAAGAGGTCTTGCAGACAAATATTTTTATGCATTTGTACAGAGTTGGAAGAATAATAGAAAGATGTAGTAGTGAGATCAATATGTTTGCATGAATCAGTGAGTGACATTCGATTAGATTTTCTTTCAAAAGTTTCGGTAGATAATAAGAATATTTCTGAAACTGGACACATTTATGAATTTCTTATAAAAAAAAACTGATTTGAATTTAGAACATTTATACGGTAATGGTAGGGTGACAACAACACCGATTATTGATAAATATTTAAAAATCGAAGTAGGTATGTCTATGCAACAGGTGTCATGTTCGTCGTTGCTTTTTGTTGAGTAGGATGAACAGCATTTCCTCTTCTTCTGCTTTGTGGTAAAGATATATTATTGGTACCCCTAACTTGATTCTCACCGAATAATGCTTGTCGAGCTCTTAATGGCAAACATCGCATTAGACCAAATGCTGTCAAAATGAATTTTAATCCATGTTGAATACAATGTTTCATTTCGACGCGAAATTTTGGACCAGTCAGAGTATAAATATAAAAAGTAATAACAGGATTGGTATAGTGAAGTAATTGAAAAAAACTATATGCAAAATTGTAACTAGCCAATCCAGATGGTGAGAGTTTGTATCGAAACATAACTATAGCAACTGCATTATATATAGCAAGAGCAAAATAAGGAGTTGAGATCAGAGTAGTGATGAGTACTTGAAATAAAAGCATTATAGTCAATTGACGATCATTTAAGTGCGGACGTTCATTTCGCGCATTGTTAATACGCAGGCCAGCTCGATTGTGAGTACTACGAACGTTGAGAATCATCAAAATGCCAAAGATACTCATTAATATAATCGGCAAAATACAAGAAATAATCGGAGCAAAGAAACTTAAAAAGACAATGTATTCATATGAAGAAAAAATGCAATTGATTCCATTGCTACTCGGACCTGTTTTGAAGTAAATAAGTATGTGTGAATAACTTAGAAAACTGAGTATAGTAGCAATTATAATGTTCTTTCGAGCTGCCCGTAAACTACTCATTTGACGAAGTCGTGCACTTGGTGAGCTTGAGAGAAATCGATCGATACTGGCAAGAACAACAAACCACAAAGCGAGATTAAGAGAAGAAAAGATGAAGAAGTTTCGTAGTTTACATAAGACAGTGTTCGTAGCCGATGGATCCAAATGCCAACTACCTTGAAGATAACGTGTAAGTATACCTACCCAGATCACAAAACAGTTGTCAATTGAACCGATCAAAAAATATAATGAACATGGATTGCTACGCAAAGCACGACGACTAAATATAATGATATTGAACACATTTCCAAATGTTCCAAAAATGATTTGGAGAACTGGATAAATTTGATTGATCCAGTATGTAGCAACATTTAATTTTTGAACTAAATCAGAAGTTGTATTCGACATGATAAGAAGATTGAATCAGTTGAGTAACTTGTAGAAATAAACCAACTGAAAATATTAGCTTAATTTCGCTGACCTAAAATAGAAGATCGTTAATCAATTAAGTCAAAACACTTATCAGATATTTTCAGTAATGTAATCGTTGAAAAATAATTGCAGGAGGGTGTGGGTGTGGGTGTGGGTGTGGGTGGGTGTGGGTGTGGCTGGTGGGTGTGGGTGTGGGTGTGGGGTGTGGGTGTGGGTGTGGGTGGC